CGATTCTATAGTTAAGCGGGGGGAAGATACTCTAAGAAGAACAATTCTTCAATTTTTGGTTTACAAGACCAATGTTTTAATAAACTATTAGAGTATTAATAAAGAATCTTGTTTTCTAGGGTTGCGATGGTAGGGAATAGGAAGAGTAGTGTGAGGAAGTAGGTAAGTAGGTGAAGGATGCTAGAAACAATAAAGCAGACATTTAGATACTGTTACAGCAGGGCAACAGCAGCTACACTGCCCCGGGAAATGGACGGCAATGCAAAAAGCAGCCCCTTAAGATTCGAGCTGAGCGACTCTGTAATAAGTTTGGATACGAGACCTGAGAAGGGTTTGCAACTGCACAGGCTGTTCTTTTGTTCAACAGCACTCTAATTTAGGTCGTTATTAATGAACACTAAATTAACATGTCAGGCACATGGAACAGCCAGTAAGTTCATCATCAATTCTCCGACAAAGGATATTGCATTAATTCACTGTAATTCAGTAATAGGACAGAAAGTGTTATTGCTTTCCCGTGTTGTTTATTTTGCTTTTGAGATCAGGCAACTCCACCAATTTATCATATTACCATACTTTTCCTTTTCTGAGGATGATTTAAGAACCTCCAGAAGTGCAGGTGATCCTTTCTAGGGGAGGGACGGATTGAGAAAGAAAGGAGAAATTAATCATTTTTGTTGTTATAACCATTCTAAGACCGTATATTGCCATGATTTTGAAAACCTTGCTTGAATCTCAGGATAGAAATCACAGCATTAATTTTATATTTCTTCTAAACACAGTATTCCTCAACCTAAGGATAGCTATGGGAAAAGTAAGGATACTTCACCTGAATGCAAAGAGCTTTAACTTATGCCTATAAAGTGAAAGGATAGACTTTCCTGTGAACATCTGCTAGTACTGACCTTCCTTATAAGAAATGACTCCGAAGAGAGTTTAATGTGCCTTTGTGTTGTCATTGATAAGAATATTGCTGAATAGAAATACTAGTTCTTAAAATATGGCTTGCTACTCTTCCTTTTATCTTGTTGGCTCACTGAAGACCTCTGTTCAAGGAAAACTTGCAAAGTTGTGGCCAAAGTTTCTCAGGAATGCAGTCAACAGTGCACAAGTTGTTTCCTTGCAATGTCACTGTAGGTGATAAAGTAAAGTAATACAAAATATATGGGCCAATGAAGTTGTGTTTAGCTAATAATAAGAAGTAACTGATTACAGTAAGTAGTAACCAGTTGTTATTAATAATTTTTGACAGTTAAAAAGCAAATTACATTAGTAAAATGGATGCTTTAGTTATACAGTAGAATGGGTTATCTTTTAGTATAAAAAATCTGTGACAAACTGAAGATAACTGTTTTTTTAAGCATTGGGTAAATTGTAGCAAATAAAATATTACTGGGAAATATAAATTAAAAAGAGACGGGGAGAGAGTCTTGCATTAAATTAATTACTTGCATTTTCAGAGCATACTCATTGCTTTCAAGAAATTTCTGCAGAGTTCTGTGAAGGAAATACCAGTGTAGAAAGTTATGCATTATTCAGACTGCGAAAACTCAGTCTAGAAAGGAATTTCTAGTCTGGTCCCCGTTACTCAGGTACCAGCCCTGCTAGTCACTGTGGATATTCTGTAGCTATTGCTACTACTGTAAATATTTTAAGGTGACTTAGGCTTTTCTTCCCGTTTTCAGTATTTTTTTTCCAAAACCTCCCATATAGTACTTTTTGTGTTGTAATATTCTCAGATCCTTTGAGGATGAGCGTTGTCTAAGTGCTTGTGTTCCGGTGCGTTCCCTGGCAGAGGTGTATTTCAGCAGGGGAAGTTTATCCAGTATAGGAGTTCTACACAGTAAGCTGTCCTAGTGACTAATGGCTCTCATTTTAAAATATTTGCAGTCTTTTAATATGAATTTGCCTAACTTAAGCATTCAGCTCTGGGATATTTTAATGCATTTTTTCTGCTAAATTAAACATACATCTACTATCAGAAATTTCGTAATCAAGTGACCCTTTAATTTTCTCTTGTTTAGATTCTTGGAGGCATCTTTTGTTACCCTGCGTGTTCTGGATCTTTACAATCAGATTTCTTTCTGAAGAGCAGGAGGACAGAAAGTTAGTAATTCCAGAAGGAAAATCCCCAGTTATCCTCCGGTGCTTTGTCTATGCGTTGAACTCTCTTCTTAGGTGTCATCACCTGGCTAGACCAAGTAGAGTTGTAATGATCTTCTTGTGAGACTGAATGTTACTGCAGCTCCAGAATCGAGCCCTTTCAAAATGATTACAATGAATTAATATCATTAGTATCATTAATAAACCAGCTTGCAAAGGAATAGCCATGGATAAAATCAATGAGTGCAGTGTAATTTCAGGCAAATATCACGTCTCTGACAAGTTTGAGATGTGGAGATTTGCCACAAGAAGCTGTTAAGTGTATGACTTTTGAAAGAACATTGTGTTGCTCCATAACTGGAGAGAGTGCAGTGTTCTTGGGGAAACAGGCAAGAAAATTGATAGTTCATTATATAAATTAAACTTTACTGTTACAAAGTGAACTCTGGCTGCCAGGACTCTGTACAGTGCCATTTACCTGTCTGTATTTCCTTCTTTATATGAAGGGCAGCATCGCAGATCTGCTGAGATTCAGTTTGACTTTCAAATTCTGACTTCATTGAAAAAATTTATAAACCAGGCATGTGCACCATAGGACTGGTATCAGCATTAGTCAGTGTTGCATATATTTGGGAAGTGACATTTTTGTTCCAGCTATACTCTTTGATTAAACTGGACCAGAAACATTTAAAGGGGGCCAGTTAATAATGGATATTGGACTTGTATTGCTTAATCACTGGCATAATTCTTGGAACAGCTTTTGGTTTATGCCAACTATCATTCTGCGAGACAGTTCCTCAGGCAGATCAGGACTTTTCCCAACAGGCAACATGTTTAAAGTCAGACTGCTTCAAGATTGTTAAGAGTTTATCCACATAGACATGTGCATCAATAGGTCTACTGAGGCTAAAAAAACAGACCTATTTGGAAGGAAACAGATGTTGCCTTTTAGCATTTTTATAAAGATAGTATCTTTATAAGATATGATCCTGTGATATCTTTCTTTTACATATAAATAATATATATGTAATTTAAAAGATAGTAAATAAGAGTGAACTATATTCAGCTAATATGGGCTATTGAACTTTCTGTGTGTTCCACACGATGTTCCCTGTATGCTGCAACGCCATCAATCTATTTTTTATAGATGCCCTTTGTCTCTTTTCTATCAAGAAACAGTGACATTTTGATTATGGATGGAGTGAAACATGAAAACAGCATTTGTCAAGAAAAGTTATTATTTCTAACTTTTTTCTTTTTATTTCTAAAACTTTTGGGGAAAAAAAAACCTTCCATGCATAAAAATTGCAATAACAAAAAGCCTTTCAAACTGTGAAGAAAAGTTATTATTTCTAACTTTTTTATTTCTAAAACTTTTGAAAAAAAAAAAACCCTTCCATACGTAAAAATCGCAATAACAAAAAGCCTTTCAAACTGTATGGTTAGACACTCTGAAGGGAGATACGGGTGGCCATCAGACCTTGAAAGTACTGCCCAAAGTGCAGGACTGTGATCTGGGCACAGCTGCTCATGGTTAAAGCGGGGTCTACCCGGTCTAGCACAGAAACGTCTCCACAGGAGGGGAGCTCCAGTTTGTTCCAGGCAAATATTTGAGCAGTTTATGTTCTCATGTGACTTTGGAAGAACGAGAAACGGAATCAACACCACTCTTTGGGCTGCTCTTAGAGGGCTGAGCCATTAACCCTAGAGGCCATTAATTGATAGCTTTTCATTCTGCTCTATGATCTGGAAATGTAACTGTATGTCCAGAGTAGACGTAGGACAACTATTAACAACAGAAAAGCAGCCAAAGTTCCCAGAGCTTTCTGGAGTGTTTCCTGAGCCAATAAAACCAGAAATTAGACATCCATTCACTTTTTATTCTGTAGGAGAGAGGGTTTACAGAGGGATTCTGTAACAACACAGGTTGAAGAGTCAATTTGTAATATTCATCAAGATGTTGTCAGAATATACACAGATCTTTCAATCTGCTGTGAATGGTTAAAGATGACTGATTGTAGATCACTGGCCAGCTATTTTCTCTTTCTCCACTTGGACTTCTGTTTTTTAGACTACTTATTTTGACTTTGGAATAATTTAAAGGGAATCCTCCGTATCAGTGGCCAGCTGCAATGAGAAAGATTCATTTTCTTTGGTCGAATGTTACTAGTTAATTCCTGAAATCTCCTGTATAGATGGATTTAGATAAATACAGTGAGTGAGGAATAAACAGGCTAGTGTGTCTTGTTGTTAAGAACAACAGTAACCTCCCTGTTGAGTGGAAAGCTGAATTTAAGGAGTTAGAGAGTCAAGTTTGCTGAGGAATAGGCCTGTGTTGGTAATGTTGAACTTTATACCTTGGCCTCCTTGGCTTAGCTTCAACTGTCTCAGGTGGTGCAATCTCTGTGTAATTTATTGGAGGCTTTGGGAAAGATCAGCATGTTTTAGAGGGTTTTTTTTTTCTGTTCTTTTTAGAAGCTTAAGAGAAATTAAATGTGCATGTAGCTGAGGAAACCCGTAAAGGAACGATGATGGGTCTTATAATCTTAGTGAGCTCAAACTGGTTATCTGAAGTGCTGCTGCTTTTCCTCTGGTGAAAACCTTGGAGGGTTTTCACCCCACACGACTTCTCACCTTGAATGCTTCAGTAAAATGAAGGTGGACACATGGTCTTCACCTACAAAGTGAACACCGAGCTCATCTCATACAATGCCAGTTTTCCTATAAGTATGCAATCGTAACATCCATGCAATCGCTACTTACTCAGGGTTTTTAAGAGCATTTTCATTGAGAACCGGTACCAGAAGGAACTCTAATCTCATTTGAAATTCTGCAGTTTCATAGGAAATTTGGGTTCTAAGACACATTTGACATGGTCCGGGTGATGTGTCCTTCCTTTCTCCAGAAGAATTCTTTACAATTTCTTACATGGTGTGAGGACCTGGACATAAAGGAGGGAGACAAAGACTTTTTTTGGTGTGATTTTCTTGTTCTTTAACAGAAATAGCTTTGTCATGCAAAAGTCTTTTCAGTTTCAAACTGAAAATTTGAAGTTGTTTCATGGGGAGTGGATAAGTATATTCCTTAGAACATAAAAATATCCAGAATTGGTCCATTCCACACCTTGAAACGGAAGTGTTTGGATCTAAGCAAGCCATGATTTCTAAAGAAAAGTCTGGGAGCTGAAGAAGAATAAACAAGTGCTTAATCAACATTTGAAGCAAAATTGCAGTGTGGCAGTCATTTCTGTTGATCCAGATATGTACAGGTAAAATCTAGACTTGCATTTTGATGCTGATCTTCAGAGAAAGGGTATTTTAAACCCCCATGCGTATTTGCCTTCGCCCCTGTGCTCATGTGTTTCGTTCCTTCTTGTTTTTCTTTCTGATGCTTTATTCTGGAGAGTATGGATGTTTCTAGTCACAACAGGATAAATTGAAGGAAGCAAAAACACTGAGTTACTGTTGAATTATGGTCCAGCTTTCCTTTTTTTCCCCCCAAATGCTGAACACCTACTGTCCTATTTCTTAATGTTTCCCTTTCTGATTCTGGTTCCTTATCCCCCTGCTTTGTTCACTCTTTGTGCATGTATGACAGAGACAAGAATAAATAAAAGGTGCTTTGAGAGGGAAGTCCAAACTTGCTTTTTTTGGTCTTTTGTTTACCTGTGTCTCGCCAGCACGGACACTAAGTTATCAATCACAGTGGTTTCTGTTGTAGCGTGATGTCCGTTTTGCCTTTATCCTTTCTCATATTATTCTGCAGGTTCTGCAGAAACTGACATATTTTGTCTTCAAGTCGTGTAAGTTTTGCACATCATTCAATTAATTTCCTGAGCTAATCATATCAGATGAGAGCACAGACAATAAGGAATTAATTACAATTAAATATTCTATTACTAAAAAACAGAAAAGAAAAGAAAATACAGGATCAGAGTTGTTTTCTCAATTTCTCTGAAAACTTCAGTTATGGAAAGGATAAATCATAATTTTAAGAAAAAGATATTTCCAGTGACTGATGAAACTGTCGTTTATTCTGCTTTCAGGGTGGAGCAGAACATAATATTCCAGTGGTCATCTCTAAGATTTCCAAAGAACAAAGAGGTGAGTGTCAAATGAATAGACTAAATTTTGGCATGTTTCTTAAAGTAGTGATACATTAAGTCTTGAGATTCTTGTAGATATCTGTGACATACTGAACTCTCTTTTGCTTAGAAATATCCTCAGTAAAATACAAAAGTTATATTTGGAATATTCTTAAACAGCCTGCGAATATATCTATTAAAAAAACCCTATAGAGTATTATTTTAAGGAAAAACTAGGGGAGTATTTTGTTAATGAAGTTGATTTACAGTTTAAGACGATTCTAAACCCTGCAGTTTTGTGCGTGTCGTGTTTGAAGAGGCTGCTGCGGTGGACGCAGCGGGGGGGGTGTTGTTGGGTCCCCCCGGGGG